GAGAATAGGGGAGGAGGCGATACATCGCTGGACACATCTTGAAGGAAATGAAACATCGCGGAGGTGGTGTGGAGGGAGGTATCGAGGAAACGCGTGCAGAGGAGGTTTGATCGGTTCAAAACATATTCGGTATGTGGTAAATAAGGCGTAATTGCTGGCTGGCAATTACGGTTCCGTTTTTGTACAACACGGTATCAGCTAGGTAATTTAGGAAATCTCTTAGGGGTCTAGAGTCTGGCCGCGTGTTCATAAATTGAGCCGTGTGGATCCACATTGACTGTTACTTGGAGGATCTGGATGTATTCATCTGTACAACAATCTTGTTGACAGGAACTCTCATCTATGGTTCGCGCACAATGTCAAAGGCTTAACAGTGCTGAGCATGTATGCATGATACCTTTTGGAAACTTCCTTTACGAGAACTAAAGTGCGGCTGACATTTGTAAGTAGAAGCCGATGAGGGTTATGTTTCATGTCCTGGCAATCATTCGCTGTGGCTATGCAATGATTTTGGGAACTTGCTGGTAACACTGTCATTCCACATGTCGAATCTCCTACTAGCTGAGGGCTTAAGGGCTCTTCTCACCGCCCCAGGATTTCCTTCCTTGCATCAATGCGTTTCCTGCCCTTGTCTTTGAAGAAGTGAAGGGGCCGCTGCTATCCAATATGAATACAACTCAACTCCAACAACCCCACCGTCGCTTGCCAGTCTTCTCCAATTGACGTGCCCGCCCTCACGACTTCCCCTGTCCTTCGGGTCAGATCGGCGTGTTGGCCCCCCTTGAATGGTCTAATTGGTGCAACCATGCCTAGGAAATTTGTCGGTTTTCGGGTTAATGAGGGCGAAGGATGTAAACCTGCTACCAAAACCCCCAGCGAGCTCCGATTCTTCTAGTGTCAACCAAAGCTAGCGCGCGCCATTCCCCAGATTTCACCCCGCCCCCATGATCCGAGTGTGGGACGGTGGAAGATCTTTGCGGGGATAAGTGCGGAAATCGAGGATGAACCTCGCTCCTCATGGAGACTCTCTTTTGTTTCCTCTCTCTTATGTAGTGTACAACAGCCATGAGCTGCATAGTCTGGTAGCACTGCCGCCGCTCTCTCAAACTCCGTCAGTCTTGACCGCAATCCTTATGCTCATTCGCCCGGTCTAGGCGCGCGCAACCTTCTTTCAACTACAACCGAGAGTGGAACCAAAATCCCGAAGTGTTATCGACCAGCGAAGATGGGTGGATTTCGTGCGGTCGAGGATCGACCAACGCCGAAGGAGGTGTACAATTGGCGCCTCTATACAGAGTCTTTCATCATTGCGATGGGCTCTTTGCTGTTCGTCCCTGCTTCATTCTCCGATCTAACTCTAGGCGGCCCCTCAGAGAATGTGCTAATTCGGCTTGGACAGCTTCGGATATGACTCCGCTTTCATTGGAACAACCATTGCGCGCAAGAGTTTCGTCTATGAATTCGGCATCACATCGTTAACATCCAAGGAGATATCTTCCAATATTACTTCAGCCTTCCAAGCTGGCGCATTAGGGGGCGCGCTTATGTGTTTCTTCAGTATGCCCTGAAAGCCTCCGCAAACGTCAGACTCCATAGCCGAAGCTAATGCCTGCCATCCATAGTCACGGAGTATGTTGGTCGCAAGTGGGCACTCATCATTAGCAACATTGTGTTTCTTGCTGGTGCTATCCCCATGGTCGCTGCCACGAACGACCTCGCATACATGTATGCTGGCAGAGCACTCACCGGCTGGGGCTGTGGTGTGATCACAGCCACGGTACCTTCCTACATCGCCGAGCTATCGGTCCCTTCAATCCGAGGTATTCTTACAGGTCTTTTTGAGGTCACGTACCAGACAGGATCTTTGATCGGCTTCTGGATCAACTATGGCATCAATCAAAACATGAGTGCCACAAGCTCAGCATCGTGGCGCGTGCCCATGGCTGTTCAGCTCATTCCCTCTGGAGCTTTATTGATCGGTGGATTTCTGCTTCATGAGTCGCCCTTGTGGCTTTACCGCAAGGGGCGCGAAGAGGAGGCGAATAAGAACCTTGTTGCTTTGCGACACTTGCCGATCGACCATCAATACATGCAAGAGGAAGTGGAAATGATCCGTACCAGACTTGCTGAGGAAGCCTCGGTTGCGGCGACTTACGGCGGCGGGTTCTACGCCTACATCCGAGGATCGCTGCATGAACTTTCGCGAAAAGGAATGTGGAACCGTTTACTCCTGGTCTTCTGCGCGTTTGCTTTGCAGAACATGTCCGGTGCCGCGGGTGAGTTTTTCACTATCATCTGATGGAGCCCACTGATAACGATCCATACTTTAGCTATTAACTACTACTCTCCCATGCTCTTCGGTTCCATTGGCATCAGTGATGTGGCCCTATACACGGGCATCTATGGTCTGGTCAAGGCCGTCGCTTCCATCATCTTTTACGGTGCACTTATCGATATTTGGGGGAGACGGAGACCGACGATCATTTCATCTTTGGCCTGTTCTCTCTGTTTATGGTTCGTCGGTGCCTACGTCAAGGTCGGCAATCCGGCACCCATTATCGTCGCCGGAGGAAAGCTTTCCGCCTCGACGGAAGCTGGCGGCCGCGCCGCTACCGCCGCCATCATGATCTACTCAGTATTGTGGGTTGCTTGCTTGCAAATGATAGAGAACAGTAATACTGACTAGTACAGCTGGTCTTTCGGTTTAAATGGTATCCCATGGATCGTCTCCGCAGAGATCTTTCCCGGTGCTCTCCGCAATTTGACTGGAACCTTTGCCGCTTTCACCCAGTGGCTGATCCAGTTCATTATCACAAAAGCTCTTCCGTACATCTTCAGTAGCCTCGATTATGGCGTTTGGTTCTTTTTCGCATGCTGGATGCTCACAGCTACCATCTGGGCATTCTTCTTTCTGCCCGAAACGAAGGGTGTCACAATCGACCAGATGGATGTTTTATTGTAAGTTCATCGAAGTAACTCCTCATATCAGCCTATTCCGGCACTAACAATCCTATTTAGCGGCTATGAGGGTGATCGTCGGGCCCAAGCTCCAGCTCTAAGATCCGATGACGCGAAGAGCGTAGAACAAGATGTAAGAGAAGTTGACGAGGCGGGTAGAGCTTGATGCTTGGTTGGCAGAAGCCTTGAGACCTAGTCAAAAACGTTACTTGGGGTCGGCGGTGAAGCACTTGGAACAGTTGCGACAGGCCTCTGCCAGAGGTTTTGCTGTCGAATGTGGTCCTTGAATCAGTCTCATGGAGAAAGGTTACACTGCCCTTTTTCCCTCGTAGATACCTCTCAGTCCAGAGACTCATATTCCTCTCGACTCAAACCATTTCAAGCAACATGAACATAAGCCGCCACATTCTCCATGTCGTAACCGTGTATCAGATGTTCAGATTTGAAAGACTCTTTGGTTTTCTGTCATGATAAACACTAGCACCCCCTGATTATGCTAAGCTACGTCGGCCTTGCTGGGCTGACTATCTGTGGAGACAAAGCCCGAAAACGATGGCAGCCGGGTCACATGAGACTCTATCGTAAGTGTTTGTGTAACAGAAACCCCTCCGCCCAGTGAGAGAGAACTGACACAATCAGTAATCATGGGGTGCCTTGGGAGATGGTCGTCGAGGCACAGGTGTGAGGAACTGCTGGGCAAGCGCGCGGCCGCGACTTGGCAAGCAAGCAAACCATCTACTGACCAGGGATACAAAATACTGTCAGCACTACCGAGACTATCAATGATCGAGCTTCTCATAAGATAAGACCGCCATGCGAGAGCCGCTCTACTCTAGTCAATTTATCTGCTTAGAGGGACTACTCACAAGCTGTTGTTGAGAGGGTTGATTAAGCCACTGGTAAATGGTTTGATAAGAACAGGACCATTTTGCGATGCTCTTCTCCATATATCTGCCCTTTCACCGTTTTTACCCGCTCTTAAGTAGAAGTTTAGGGCTTTTGACGAGTCAATAGAGAAACAAATTTGAGCCCAGTTTGAGAGCGTCTCTGGCTCCTGATTACAGCCTTTCTGAATCTGGATCACCTCGTCGCTGAACTTTAAATTGCGGACAGTCCCTTTGGATGGCGCCTCGGCGGCTGCTTCAATTCGTTTCCAATTCAGCTGGCTGTCTAGTGGTCTTTGAGGAAGGTTCGACAGTCATGAAAACGAAAACATAGAAACAAAGAAGCCTACACCCAAAAGTTTGTGGTATCACTGAAGTTTACACAGATGCCAGGAACATCGTTGAATCCTCCATCTCAAGCCCGTCCCTCTACGCCGTCTTGTGGTAGTTTCTACCCTGCCCCACGTTTGCTCTCAGCTGTTGATTCTCACTGCAGCACCTTCTGCTCAATTACCAGCCAATCAAATTCTCCGAATATTACCTGCCACACACATCATGCTACGGTCGCCGGGCCGCAGTAATGTCCTAGTCTTCAGATCACTCACCAAACACAGTGGGTAGACCTCTGTTGCTTACATACCGCATGTCTACTTGAACTCCACGTTTGCCTGAGTTTGAAATTGGCATCAGTTGTCCAGGTGGTTCAAGAGGAAGGACACCGAACAAAGAATTTTACCAGTTCACCGCCAGTAACAATATAGTGTGATCTAAATCTTCTGCTCTGTCATGTACAGCTCATAGATATTCGGTACCTAAAGTATGCTCAGTCTGCCCAGGCTCACGAATATATCGTAGCGGCGATATCAGATCTATGAATAACGTCCAGAGACTTTTCCACGTATTCATATCAAGCGACATAGTATGCAAGCCGAATAAAACGTGCTCAGCCAATATTCTATTCGATGACCATTTTACCTCGCAAGTCTTCCTTCCAAATTTTATTCCAGTCAGTAAAGCTCGCAGGTAAATCTAACCGGCATGTGAGTGTTGCAAGAATATGCGAGTGAGTGAAATTCAATGACTTTCTCTTATGATCTACAACATATCATGTTAACAGTTAGGGGTTTCCTCTCATCGAACTCTCTGGGCCTCACTACTTTAGCTAAGGCTGCCTCTTCCCACATTATGTCTTTCCACAGCTACTGTCCGCGTAATAGCTATTCCAGTACTGTCTGGAGTCGGAGATCTAGGACTTGCAGGCTGCGAGACTGTTCCAGCAGAGATTTGAGCCTGTGATATTCTTCCGGTCCTACAATTTGCCCTATTACCTAACCCCTGCATCTCCCAGCTGAGATTCTCGTCACTATCAGACATTTGCTTGAAGCCATCCCCGCGACGATGGCTTCCGAGCTGACTAGATTTACTACTCTTGACGATATGTCCTTGCGATGCCGTAGGTGCAGTTTCTTTTGTGCGCCCACTACTGCGAATGGACAAACTCAACCATCGCACGATAGTTCGGTCAAACACCGGGCGAAGCATAGGGCTTGAAGCTACCATGACAGCAATGCCTGATTGGAGTACTCCACTTATTGATGCAGAAGCAAAGCCTCGAGTGATGTTGACGAAGTCTGCGGTAAGGGTGTAGTAGAGGCGGACGCCCGAGAAGATTATCGTGCTTCAAGCCAAGCTCAGGTCAGCAAACGATGATTGCCGTGACTCGCATGAGGAGTTCAAATGATCCGGGTTGAGCGGTAAATAAAACGCGCTCCAATCATCATGGTGAAACACAACTTAAGGCGTCTACTCACATGAAACCTGCTCCGAATACCACACAAAGAGCAATTTTGTGGGCTCTAGCCATTTGCAAACCACTGACAACCTTGATGGGAAGCACCACAATGACTATGTCGGTGATGATATCGAAGATGGCAACTGCACTGAAAGCCAAGGTATAGTCCCCGCAGCCAGTCTTCGTAACATTTATGTCCCAAGCACTTTGAATCGGCTGACAGATGACGAAGCCAAGAAGGGCCGTATAGAGCGCCCATATGCATGACAGGCCAACAGCAACCCAACTTGTTGCACGAAACCATGAGCTGCTCTGCGAAAATATGCGTTGCATTAAGGTTATAATGCTGAGCTTGATCGCCAAGAGCTCGCTAGCGTACAAAACCTGTGCTGCCAGAAAGATTTTGACGAAGTGCGAAATGTGAAGGTTCGGATCCAGAACGCTAACGTCATGGCCAGCACCGCCGAGGATAACTCCTAATCACAAATGCATTAGCCGCTTTAGTTTTCGAGTTGGATGACAAGATGAGCGTTCCTACCTAGAATAAAGCACGTTGCAACACCGTAGTAGAGAAGCTGTAGGGTGAGTTCTTGCCCAAAGATACAGTCGTTCTTGCTGGTGACATACCTGCCCAGAGAAATAGAAGTAATCTTCCATATGAAAAGATATTCCCGTTATGCGACGAGAAATAAACCTCATGATCGTCCATAGCGTTGTCAGCACCATCATGATGCACGCTGTCAAAACCAGTGAGGCTCCATCGCGGGTTAATGGCGGATACCTGTCTGTAATCAGGGTCGGAGACTCTTCTCGGAGTTCGAAGAAGATGGGCAAAACCGCGTCCATTTTGAAATATAGACACTTGTCAAGTGACGAAAATGAGAAAGGACCGCTCCAGGTACACGGAGATGATCCAGCGAGATCTACTGCTTGACTTTGTTGTTCTTGGAGGGGCCTCTGATCCTTTCGTTCCATTCTCTACCTTGCGGCCTCGAACCGAGGTTGCCAAGACAAATTTCTTTTTCACATCGACAAGATTCAGTCATTATCTCGAAGCGACCCCTCTTCCATGGATCAAGCCTTTCTCTCGTTATCGTTCATCGGTCCCTTGCGACAGAATCACCACATCACGCAACTAACGCAGTTTACCAACAAAATCAAGTGAAATATCCTAGAAACCTCGCTCAGGCCCCTGTCGGCAGGAGGTTACGGTTCCACATTCTACGAATCCGACTGTAACCTTGAACCAACCGCATAGTGTAGACACCTGGACCTTACCCATTACGGCAAGTTGCAAACTGAAGCAAACATTTCCCCTTGTCTAGTGTCTTATAATCCACTCAAAGGAAGAGGCACAGCTTCACGTACTATGTATTCTCACGGGCGTTGACGGGCAACTCCGTACCTGATGCCAGGTTACGACATGGGCAATAAGGGGATGCCAAGGGCTCTCGCCAGAAACTCTTCACCAACAACAATTCGGAACACTTTGCTGCGGAACGCGGCTATTGAATCAACACACGGGGTTCTGCCACATTGGATCCTGACCATGTTTGCTAGATTCTTGTAGCGGAAGGAGTCCGTTGTTCCATGCATGACAGGCACTCCGATTGGAGATATGCTTGCAATCATCGCCGGCGAACACGAAGCTGCGTGTCCCAAGCTTCAGGTTCTTCAAACTAATGTGGTATTCAACCGCCGTGTATCTTTTGCTTCATAATGCAGGATAGTGGAACCTTATTTCCATAGTTGACATGGTGGCAAAAATCCGCTGTGATGTCCAACAGCCAACCTGAATGTACCAACAGCAGAGCACATGCATCAAGCCGGCCCGCCCATTGCCCCTGCGCGAAAAGATAGTTGAGGTTAGATGGGATACCAAGTCTCAGTGGGCCTCGTACGTGCGGAATTCTCGATATCTGCACCTGAAATTTGGTATCCAGTATTATTCTGTCGCGAACCAAGGTTAGGAGCCGAACCGAGATACAAGGCCGGGTTAAAATCTCGCCAGCGATAACACGTTGTCATTCATTACTAGCTCCAAGGCATTACCAGCATGTATTAATTATGTCCCGCCCAGTCCTACCCACGTCGCCCCGCGAATGACTGCCCATCTTTCATTTCTCTCATTTTCAGTCTGATTCTTTGCGACTCAAGATACAAAGCGAGCAAGATGACTCTTTGGGACTGTATTGTAGTCGGAGGCGGCATCGCCGGTTCCGTGGTATCAAACAGGTTGCTTCAACAGGACCCAACCCTCAGAATCCTGCTCGTTGAAGCTGGCACCAACACCCATGCCGTCGAGAACATCGAATGGATTGACATGAACAATGCCATCGGTGGCGAATACGACTGGGGGTTCTCCTCTGTTCCACAAACCCATCTTGACAACCGGGAGATTCTATCGCCCGTCGGTAAGGGACTCGGAGGTGGTAGCATTATCAATGGGGGTAAGCTCAACTGTTTTGCGGAATTGGCATGGGTCATCTAACGACTAAGAAGCTGCCTGGGCCCGCGGTCACAAGGTTGACTATGACATCTGGGCCGAGAGAGTTGGCGACCAAAGATGGAGTTACGAAGGTCAACTTCCGTACATGAAGAAGACTGAGTCGCTTTTTGACAACTTCACCAACCCCCTTTCTCACGGGCACACTGGCCCTGTCAAGGTCCAGTCACCAGGATCCACTGGTCGCGTTTTTCCTCTCCGCGAACCCCTACTCGAGTCTTGGAAAGAGCTTGGAATCGATGCACTCCCTCAACTGGACAACAATGCCGGAAACAACCTTGGTGTTGCAGACCTTCAGGAGAACAGGAACCAAGGAAAACGCCAACTTGCTTCGCTCGTTTACTCCCTCAAAGGTATTACGGTTCTGACCGATAGCTTGGTAGCCAAAGTCCTGGTGGAGAAGCATCCAAAGGATGGTCATCTCGTCGCTCGTGGAATTAGGCTTGAGAACGGGACCGATCTTTTGGGACGAGAGACCATTCTGTCTGCTGGCGCGTACCGCACGCCGCAGATCCTGATGCTTTCAGGCATCGGTCCCGCGGATACCTTGGAGAAGTTTGGTATCCCCGTCCTTCTGGATCAACCAGCGATTGGCCGGAACTTTCACGATCACGTTCTGATCCCTACGATCTGGCAATTGAAGAACGCATCAGCAGGATACGCCAAGGAGTCCGGCAATCCCGTTTTCAACCAGTCTCAATACGCACTAGGGGCTTTCATCGATTTCATGACGGTCACTTCTCTCGAGAAAGAAGGTCTGGCTATTGCCATTGCCGAAGACGAGGGATCGGTCCCTGATCCCGCTGTACATCCGTTGCTGAAGCAAGATCGCGCTCATTCATCACACTTGCTTCAGTACTCGGGGGTTTCCGCGGATGGTTCAGCCATCTTGATGATTTCGGTTGTCTTTATCAACTCTGCCCGAGGTTCTATCACTATCCAATCCTCCGATATCAAGGATGCACCACTCATTGATCCCAACTTCTTGGGTACTAACGTCGACCGCTATGCTGCTAGGGAGACCATCAGACGCAACATCAAGTTGCTGACTTCTGATGAAACTATCATGGGAAGAGAGGTGGTGGCGGGCGAGCTGGCGGCAGAGCCATTGACACTGAATTCCACAGACGAGCAGATCGATGCCCGGGTGCGCGAGATGGCAGGGTAAGTGACGCCTTCCTGCGGATGAAGACAAGTTCTTCTAACACATATCACAGGGGATGCTACCATCCTGCAGGCACAGCCTCCATGGGTACTGTTGTGGATACAGACTTGCGCGTGATTGGGGTTTCGGGTCTTCGTGTTGTTGATACTTCAGTGTTTCCTGTCTCCGTTTCGGCCAACCTACAAGTGGCTGTCTACGCTCTAGCAGAGCAAGCTGCTGATATCATCGGGTCAACGATGAAGAAGTGCTAAGCCTATCGCGTCAATGAAACGGGGGTATAATGTCAGAAATTTCGAAAATCTCCTATGCTTCGGCATTAATCTCACTAAGTTCTCAGGCTATCTCACTGTAGATCATCAAGATAATGTAAACGAAAGTTCAGGAGGCTACTTATTCAATTAATGTGGTAGTAACATGTAGCCTAAAGCCTCATGTTCATCGTCGAGTTCAACTCTCCAAAGCGGATGTTGCTGAACGTCACCTCAGGGTTGGCTACGATCGAGGTGATAACCGAGGGGTTACCCTCAGTAGCGTTGCAAGGGCCGTTGTTGCCCTGGTCAAGCCACGACATGAAGGTCGAGTCATCCCACCACAAGCTCATGGCCAGAACCATACCACGCGACATGGCACCGCCCATGACCTCCATAGCACCCAACCGCATGAAGTCGGAGGCACCAGTGGCCTGGCAGTACTCGTCGTTCATGAAGTTGATCTTCGGGGGTCCCTCGATGTTGACAACGTTGTTCTGGATGACCTTGCCGTCCTGGACGTACATGCGGCGGAGCTCCTTGAGCTTGCCGTTCTGGGCCGGGAACTGCGTGACGACAGTGAACTTGCGGGTAGTGTCGACCTTGTAGTCGGCACCGCGGCCGTAGAAGTCGGTCACGTTCACGCGGTTGGCGTTCCAGGCGCAGCCGGACTTATCGCAGACGCCAGCCTTCTCACACTCCTCGCCGGTGCACTTGTAAAGGCCGGGCTGGCTGCAAGGGTGAGGCGCGATGTGAGTTGCACGAGAGTTGGCCTCCCAGATGTCAAGTTCGTTGCAGCAAGAGCCCTTTTGGTCAAAGTTGCCCTGATTCTCGTGTTAGTAATGCACAGTGTCGGGCATGGAGACAGAGGGGACTCACAACTCCGTTGATGAACGACGTCTTGAAGCACTGCGCATCGCAGTAGCCGGTGCCCCACGCGGGACCAAGCTTGTTCAGGGAGCTTGTATTTTTGCCACCGTCCGGAAGCATCTCGGACAGGTACAGCGCGCTGTTCATGCCGCAGGGCAAGTTGACCATGTCGACGTCGAAGCTGAACTCAGATCCCGTGAGCTGGATCATTTCGTAGCGCTGCTTGTTCTCCTCCAACAGGTAGATGCGGGGAGAGACTTTCTGCTTGTCGGCATTGAACATGGTCAGACGAATGTCCGTGCCGTGGGTAGTGACACCCTTGGTGCTGTAGTCGGCGATACCCTGGATGTGGCAGTTGGTCGCGCACTCCTCGGGAGTGGTACAGGCAGTGGAGTTGGGCGGGTTGTTGCCGGTCAGGCAGCTCACGCCGCTCGAAGTCTTGATTTGATGCTGACTTGAGTCGACGACGAGGTAGTTGGTCTTCTTCTGGCAACCATCCTTGACGGTGCAGCGGAAGGTCTCGATCTTGGGGTGTTCATCAGTAGAATTGCCAGGCGCCTGACCGGAGACGAGGCTGGCGAGAAGAAGAGTAGCGGAAAGAATGGAAAGCGCCATGACGGGCAAAGTGCAGATGCTGAGTTGGTCAACAAAGTGCGAAGAAGGTCAAAAAGGAGTGACTTGAAGTTGAGAGAAGCGAAGCTTGTGCCGAACTAGAATCGTCTGAAGTCCCCAGCGGCAGCAACGTCGAGCTATATACTTTTGATGAACAGCATGACCGTCCCATTCGAAACCGAACAGACTCTAAAATCATCAAACTGTTTCAACCCGTCAAATTGGGTTCGGAGACCCCATGAGAATCCATCTGGAGTATTCCGACAAGCTTTCGGGGTTCACTGGTTGATTGCCTCAGGGGCTAAAGGGGCCACTGTGACTATATGCAAGGGGCTTTGGGTGTGACAGCAATTGCGGGCAGTAGCCTCAATCTAATCTATCTATCAGAGGCGGCTCAAGTAGGACATGTGCAGGAGGAAACTTTGGGGACAACGACAGCAATGGCGGACATTGGAGAATAAGAAAGGACCGAACGGTCGAGGATGGAGCATTGGGCGCTTGGGGGCCATGATACCCGAAAGGTTGTCAGGGACTGCCCGGCCTTTATTTCGGCAAAGTGGGATGAGAGCCAATATTTCTACGGATGAATCCGTGTCTATCGCACCCAATTGTCCCAAATTGGTGTTTCCTTCCCACAGTTTACCGAACAAGCGCGATTTAAACTTTCCTCCTGTAACAGAAAAAGGGTTTCGCAAAACTCTATCGTTAAGGATGCATCGCCTCAGAGGGTCACCTACTCTAGCGGCATTATATACACGAATCACATTTAATCTAGTCGTTGACAACTATCCACGCATCCCACACTCGCCGACGGCTACATCGCTCAAAGCTCAGGTAGGTGTCAAGTCAACTACCCAATCTCCGTCCCATGTAGCAGAGTAATAACTTCCAGACAGGAGACCGTAGTTCGGGCGTTGCACCGAATCGCTCGCAGCGCGCCCGAATACTCGGTACGTGAGAGTTGATGCTGTCAACTTTACATCGACTCAAGTGTATAACATGACTGGCATACGCGGGCATATCCAACTGTGGCGTCCGTCCCTATTATCTTTGATCACCTGTAGAGATCCAATATATTGCATCTTCTTCCATGGCTCCTACTCTATCACGAGGATCCATCATACAAGCTCAAAGATTCGCCATTTGAGTAAGTAATCTTACGCTTAAAGTTCTCTGCACGATAGCCTTCACTTCTTGATCTACGCGGCACGCCTGCTCAGAACTGACCCTAGCTCCCGGCTTGGGTGCGGATCTGGCTTCTGCCCCGGTGTTCGCGGCGAACTCGGATCAACTGGATGTCCTGACTTAGCATTGCTGATGGAAACTGAGTTTCTTGGCTTGCGGATAAATTACGTGTAAGTCACTGGTAAGGTAGGGCCAGGGGTTTGTCACACTCACGCTCCTAAGTCCCCGTTGAAGCTGTGGGGCCCGCAACGTAAGCGGACTTTGCTAGTCGCGGCAGCTCCGAGGTGCTTTTATCTATCTCCGCGTGTCAAAGCGAAGTTGTATAATTCTGTGACTAGAGTGATATCTGGAATGTGGCAAGCATGAGAAAGTGCTGATGCACATGCGTCGACAATCTTCTCGATTTTGAGCAGACGAAGAAGGCTGAAAGCACCAACACGAGAATTGATCAATTCTGTGAACAAATGTCAAGCCGCTGTGACGCCATGAGTCAGACACCAGCTTCGCCATTGAGAAACAGGTATCAAACCTGGTGGCGTTTCGTTTCGAGACTCTTGGATCTTCACATGCATACGTAGGCATGCTTAATTCGTCTGAAGTCAAGGAAAACTGATTCGAGTTTCTTGCAATAGGACTTCTCTCAGTTTTCTTCTGAAGCCGGCCAGAAACGCGTAGCAATCGTCTCCTGATAGGGTCATTCACAATTTCAGGGTGCTTAGTTATTTTGAAGACTTCCAAAATATGAAAGGTGTACATATGGCCACGAAGTTTAGCGAGTTCGGCCATATCCATTCAAGTTCAGCTCTTGGTGTAGGACCTAAGATGCCAATTATCGTGCTCGATTGCTGTTGCGTAGGGTAGAACAACACGACTCTCAAATAGCTGAGTATGTAGAGTACTTCTATTTATCAAAATACGACGTTATAGTAGTTGAACAGGGGTAGAGACAACCAACACGTATGATAGATAAGGGGACCACACCTACCCACCTCCGTACAGACATAGTAGTATTGGCTATTCAAGCAAGTCAAGAGTCCTACACAATGCCGCACCTGCGTTCAATATCCTAAACAACTATACTAATCTGCTTCGGTTTAAGCCTTGGTTCTTGTTCGTGGGCCACCTTATCGTTGAATTATTAATAGCTGATTAGGTTAAGTAAATATGTCGGATTAGAAGTCTAATTCGATCGTAGCATATAGCTAACTACATAAGGGCCAATTAGGGGCCCTATTTATAATCATTATAACTAGCCTAACTTATAATTAGAACCTCCTTTTTATACTAATATAAAAATTTATATAATTTAATTAATTTTTTTATTAACCTATAATTCAAACTAACTACTTTATAATAAGGATATTAATACTAATTAGTAATTAAATTTTATTATTATAAATTAATAAAGTATTTTATTATATAAAAAAAACGACCTCTTAATACTATATAGGATAAGAAATTCGTATTAATTAATTTTATAAAAATAAATAAAAAAAGAAGCGATTTTTAAATACTATATAGAATTAAATAATTATAACTTTTTATTACTTATAAAAAATCGATATTTATTATATTAAACTATATTAATTAATAAAACTATTTAAGTAACTAGTTTTTTATTATTATTTTAAGTAGCTTTTTTACTAAATAACTTTCTTATAGCTGGCCCGTAATTAAAAATTAACTAGTTAAATTAATAAAAAGAAATACTTACGTAATAACTACTTACTTAATTAATTAGTATAATAAACGAGCTTAATAATATAATATAAAAAAGTACTACGTAATTAAGAAAAAGAATTTTTAAATATAAATATTTTTACTTAGTAATAAAAATAACTTTATAAGAATTATAAAACTAAGAAATTTATAATATATAAAAAGGTCTATTATTATAAGGATTTTATAAATATAACCATAAGCTTATAATTTAAATAACTTTTTTATAACTCCCTTAATTACTCTTTAAGTATTATTTAAAAATATAATATAAAGGACGGTTTTATAAAAAAAGAAGGGATTTAGAGATCTTAATAATATTAAGTTAAAATTATTATAAATTTTAGAAATTAACTTAAAAAGAAAGCGGCTATTTTAAAATAGTCTTATAACTTCTTATTATAATTATTATTAATTTAAAAAAAGGCTAAGAAAACGAGGATTTAAAAAGGAAAAAAAAGAATCCTTTAAAAAGTTATTAAAGAGCTTCCTTTTTATACTAACTCTTAGTATCAAATTATTAATTTTAAGAAATTAACTAAGTAATAAAAAGAATTATTAATAAGTAATAATTACTTAATAATAATTAAGTTATAAAATATAATAAATTTAGGATA